CTAGCCTTGAACATTGCCAGGGTTTGTTCATCCACAGCCTCTCTGGGCAAGCTGTTCCAATGCCTCATCATCCTCCCAGTAAGGAATCTCTTCCTGAGATCTAGTCTAAATTTCCCCTCTTCCAGACACCTCTTTATTCCTTGTCCTGTAACTACAGTTCCTGATGAAGCGTCCCTTTCCAGCTTCCTAGATATTGGAAGGTTGCTACAAGGTCTCCTTGCAAACCCAATGATCTCCCTTCAGTCTCAGAATATTCTGTCAATCTGTGAATCTCTGAACCTTCTCTTCTTCCAGGCTGAACAGCCCAGACTTTCTCCACCTACCTTCTTAGAGGAGGTGCTCATGCCCTCTTACCAATTTCCTGGCCCTTCTCTGGACTTGAGTCAAGACTTTCAATACATGACTTCTCTTCTAGTCTTGACACAAATCATGTATGTATAGCAGGTATGAATAAGTCTGGAACCAAAAGTAACCCTATAATCAATAGGGTATGAGTGTAATTTGTGATCTATGTAGGTTTTTAAGTGAGCCTTTCAGTCTTTTAACATTTTATTTTTATTTTTTTTTATTATGATTAATAATTAAAATGTAAGTCCAACATTGAGACATCCCTCTCCGGCTTCCAGGGCATTTTGTAGAGCTTACTAACTTAGTTTATCCTTAATGAAATGTTTTAGCCTTATTCTCTGCATGAGCTGTGAACACTTCAACAACTGAGCATTCTTTACAAGAAATTTATCTTCAGTGATATGTTCCTTTTCCACTCCTGATTTGTTGTATTTTCAGTATAAGTCTGTTTGCCTAACTTACCTCAGGTGAGTTAGGTTACATGGTTAGGAAATACATGGTTAGAAAAAATATAACTACATTTAAAGAGTCCATCAGATTGGTTGGTAAAAATTGATTAAGGATAATCAGTGATCAAGTAGAAAAGTGCAAGTCCTCACCATGACAGTATTAGTCAAGGGTAAACTATAGTCCAGAGTAGCTCAGCAGTTACAAAACAAGTTTTATTGTTATGACATATTGACATGAAGTCTTTCAGGATAGCCAAGAATTGAGAGCTCCTGATGGCTGTATTCCAGTTGGCGATATTATAAAATAGAAGATTCTAAGTAAACGACACTTTCAATCTGATTTTTACTGCATCCTTTTTCTGGCACAAAGAGCTAGTGTAGTTTCTCCCATCCACTTTTCACTTATGCTGATCACAACACTGAGACATCAAAAAGTTTACAGGAAATTCCTATAGCACCACCACTTAAAAAAAAAGAAAATAAATAATAAAAAAAAGTCTTAAGTCTCTATGCCATCAAAAAGCAGAGAACAGAGTGAATCACATCATATCCCACTGAAATTCTAACCTTTCTAGATGTCGCCACATTGAAAAGCTTAGCTAAAGAAACTCTACATAGGCAGTGTTCCTGAGACATGGGTATTACTAAAACTCTATTCATACAGCAGGTTCCCACTGTTTCCAGTGAATCAGCCTTAGAAGAGAGTGGTAAACTTGGCTCATAAGTTTCAAAGCTTTGCATGAGGTATAATTGCCTGACCCTGTGGCTCAAAGTCATCCACTGGTTTTAATTGCAAAATGCTAGCTGACATAAATAAGTATCCATACTGGGGTTTGGGCAAATCTTTTCTCTATGAATGCAATACACTGTCATCTTAAAAAACCCCTCAGCCTAAATAACAATAATGCTTTGCTACTGCCCGAATGCTTTTCTTCCAAGGTTTTTAACATATTCAGGCACTTGAGTGCATTCAGTTTCACAACTTGTTTATCTCATAGCCATACGGATTATAAAACTTTGGCATGACCTCAAGATTAAACAGAAGAGTGTGGAGGAAGCGTGAATATCCAATTCCTCTGAGTTAGAATACACAGAACTCTTTTAGTTCTTTAACTATGGAACATGTTATTCCTTGCCTGTATGTACAAATACTGTAGATGTAGAGAGAGAAAATACATGATACAACACAATATTATCATTAAATTGTAGAATTTCTCATGTAGTAAGGGACCATAAAGATTATCAACCCCATGCTCCTTTCAGGACTACCTAACACTAAATCAATCATATAACTAATAGTAGCACCCAGAGTGCTCCTAGACCTCTGACAGACTTGGTGCTATGTGACCCCTTTCATGGGGAGCCCATTCCAGTGACTGAGCACCCTCTCAGTTAAGAACCTTCCTCTGATTAAACTTCACTCCATTTCTTGTACCCTATCATTGATCATCAGAGATCAGCACCTCTTCCTCTGCTGCCTGCCTTGAGAAAGGTGTAGACTATGTAAAGTCTACGTAGAGTCTATGTAGAACCCTCCAGCCTTCTCTTCTTCAATCTGATCAAACCAAGTGACCTCAGCTGCTCCTCATAAGTCTTGCCCTTGAGGCCTTTCACTATCTTGGTCATCCTCCTCTGGGCACACTAATAGTTTGATGCTTTCCTGATACTGTGGCTTCCAACTAAGCACACAGTGCTCAAGAGGGAGCTGCACCAGAGAAGAATAGAGCAGGACAATCACTTCCCTCAACCAGCTGGTGATGCTGTTCTTGATGTACCCCAGGGCATGGTTGGCCTTTTTTGCTGCCAGGGCACTGCTGACTCACATTCAATTTGTCATCAAGCCAGACACCCAGATCTCTTTCCTGTGGCTGCTTTCCAAACTCTTGACCCCCAATATTTATGTATGATCAGGATTACACTCTCCTAGGTGCAGAATCTGGCATTTGCTCTTGTTAAATTTCATGTGGTTGGTGATTGCTCAGCTCTCAGGTCTATTCACATTTCTCTGTAAGGCCTCTCTGCACTTAACTGAGTCCATGGTATCTCCTAGTTTAGTATCATTACCAACTTAATGTACATTTAACGGCTGCATTCAGATCTTTACTCCAGGTAGTCAGATACTTTAAATGGAACAGTCACCCCTTGTTTTGAGAAACTGGTACTTTAGGGCTCATAGATTAGCTTCATTGACTCAAAGTGGAGCAGAATTAAAGCATTCCTGAAAAAATGGGTGACGTTTTCTTTCAGCTTTGAAGGTAAATTATCAAACCCACAAATTTTCAAACTAGTTAAAAAGTTAAAACTATCTATGATGATCTCTTCCAACACTAAATAATTTTCCTATATACAAAAATTTCCTTTCAATCCTATTCAATCACCACAGAGAGGAAATATATTATTAATCCACTTTATCAAGTCTGACTGAATAGAACTTAATTACAAAGATGTCTTCAACAAATTTAATTTGAGGTTTCTGCATTTTGAGAAATACAAAACACGACGTGAAAATCTGAAGCATGCCTTCAGTTGAAAGCAATCTGCAATGGCAAGACTGGAAGTGAAACCCCAAAAACTTCACAGAAAGCCCGAGTGAACACTTACGAAGCAGATGTGATGAGCTGAAATCTTCTTTGCCTGTGGGAAGGTTGCAGAGGGGGCATTTCCCCTGGTGATTTGTTTTGGTTTTTTGTTATTCCAGTCAGTGGGTTCTAGCAGCAGTTCCCAGTTGTGTGTTCTGGTATGTCCTGAGCCATTCAGTACCATGGTCCACATGACCCAGCCCTCTCCATCATCAGATTGGTACTAAATTCACATCCCATGCTTAGTGTAAAGGTAAATATCTACATTCTTTATGGGGAACTGTTTTCATGAGTCTAAGAGTAAATAGATACCTCAGGGTTTATACTTAGCTATACACACGAACTACTTTAGTTAGAGGGATATAAACGATGAGTTAAAGCAACTCCTCAACTGAAATAGTGAAGCTGCAATATTTTAGAGTGCATAAGAAGTACCTGCAATCTATTACACAGACCCTGAATGCTGTATAGAAACTCTTAGGTTTTTGGTTTGTTTGGGTTTTTTTAATTTCTTATGTAACAGCCAGATCTTTTATGTGATTTAGTTCTAAATCAGAGTCAAGCAGAGCCTTTTGCTAGAAATACTATCTCAATGCAAAAATGGTGTGGAAAAATAGTGTTTTCAAACTGTAAAATTACTTCCCAATGGGGGAGTAGGGTTAGCTTTATTGAAAATAAGTAGCATAGATTTCTTAATAAAGGAGTTTATGAGGTATCAACAAAATCTTTTGACAGTATTGCTAACACCTGGAGAAGGCCTTATTGCTTTCATACACTACTGCAGCTCCTACTCCCCTGGGGACTATTCATTATTTTCCTTGTTAAACTTTTCTGTAGGAGGAAAAAGACATCAGAGGACATCACTGGTCTTTGTCAGAGGTCACTTTTAAGCATTATCATGTATTTTTATCAGCTGGTAGGCACTTTTCTAGTTTTGGTATTTTTTTTTTTTCCTGATGCTTGATGCTACAATTAGCAGATCAGTTTGTGTGAGAGAATGACATAAAAAAAAAAGTACAGATACTTTCATGCTCTCTCTTGCGAACTGGGCTATCAAGAGTCTGAAACAGATCTTTCTGCATGCCCAGAGTAGTGACACCAACAGATGTACTCATATTTACACCTGCACCCACGGACATGACTGAATTATATTCTTGCCCAGAGTTCCACTGTCTTGAAGACAACGGTCCATATGTGATCCTTCAGTGGTTCAGATGGTAGGATCAGGGCATTAAGTCCCTATGCTATGCTTAGAAGAAAATTATTTGGATCACTGACTTGTACCTTGCTAAACCTTTCTGAGAGAAAAACAGTAAAAAGGCATTTTTATGCTTGCAACACTGGGGATTTTTTTTCCAACTTGTTTATCTAAGCAGCTTAAAATTCAGATTTGCTTTCTTTTCTCATGAGTTATCATGGTCACTCGAACTTCTCATTCCAGTTTTTTATCTAATAAGAGTGTTTATGGTTGAGTTACAACCTCCTGAAACATAAGGTTTGTGACAAAAATACTGCCAACTGTAACCAATGCCAAAACTGTGGTCACCACCACAGCAACACAGAGGGATTTGAACTTCATACCTCAAATGATGAAATAATTGTTTGGTTTCTTGTTTTTTTGCAGTTCCTGCTTTGCGGCGTATGTGGAATACTGTGCGCCAAAAAAAAATCTGGACTTGTTGTAAGTTTTTCTTCTGCATCCATAACACATATGTATTTGAAAAGCTTCCTTATCTAATTTGAACTCTTTACTGGGGGTTTCCTGCATCCGAGGGTTTTTGATAAATGATTAGAAAAATTACAAGTCTGCAATCTAAAAAAAGCAATCAACATTTTGGAATAGTCATAACAAACAAGGTCATGCTATTTAAGCCACACATCCCTATTTACCCGTATCTGGATAAACTTTGATTGGAAATCACTTGACATAGATTTATGTTAAGTCAATAAATGTTTCTCAGTAATATCACTGGACTGTATCTTCTCTCCTTCAAAAACCAACACTGGGTTGCCATCTCAGTAAGGCTGCTGACCAAGTTAGTTTCTAGATATCATAGCTGTTAAGTGTTTAGTTTGTTTAGCAATCTGAAACACGTGTATGTAGGTTTTAAAGGGATGTCTCTTCAGGTACAGTCATTTTCTCATTGCAGCAAAATGGTGTTGTTACTCAACAAGTCACAGCAGAACTATGTTAAAGACATGATCTTATTGTAAGTGATAATGCCAGTCCTAATTTTCTGTCAGCTTGATTATTCTGCCACATGCACATGGAAGTCACATAAAACAAGCATAAGTGTGATGAGAATCAAAAGTTCTCTCCAATTATTTTTTAATATCAATGACTTACCCTAAACTCTGTTAAAATGGCAGTCACATTTCTTAAAACATGTGTACCATAGCCAGTTTCTAAAAGCCATCTGTTCCAGAGGTCTCATGGAATAGTCACTTTCCAGTGGACTGCAATATACATCCTCAATGTCACATTACTGATGAAATCCTCATCCCAATTGTGTATAGAAGTAGTCTGTAAGGCTCCTTAAGTTTTTGCTACCACAGTAGATAAGTACATATACAAAGCCATATCGAGAAACATTAAAGGCCCATCTAGATCATCATCCAACAGGTCAGCAGTGTCAAGGGAAGTGAATAATACAATCATTTGTCTCCATAATAAGGTCTTTTGCTCCTGAATCATTGGAGATTAATGCACATCCTGAAACAGTAACATCTTTGCAATTAAAAGCAATAGGAGGTCTTTTAAAATGTCTCATTGATTGCAGCCTGTTTCACAGCTTTCTGAAATTCCCAGGAACATTTTAGTCAAATTAAAATCAACCAAACCAACCAATCAACCATACAGTTACCAAACTGACCTTCTGTAAAGCAGCATCACAGATTTCTTTGTTGTTTCTTTTGCTTCTTTGACCTGCACATTCACCTTGAACACTTTCAAAGACCCCAAAAAAGCTTCAGAAATCCTCCAATCTGCTAACTGACTGAATAAATTATAATTGAGGAGGAGGCAAAGGCAGAATGCACACAAAGCAAGAGAGATTCACTACAAATACATGAGTCATTCACTCCTGAGGCAGGGTGATAAACTGCACAATAGAAAATTACAACACATTCTGTCATGTTACTGCTTTGCATGAACAGGTGGAAATCAGTTTTGTGTTCTAGCAGTCCTTCCACTGAATAGTTTTTATCTTTATCTCATTTTATCCAACTTTTTTATACATGCAACATCAATCTTAACTCTTGTATACCAGAAAGTAATATATTCCCTTGGAGCAATGTGGGAGCTAAGAGTTAAGAGCGAGTGTCTGTGCAGTGTTTTGCAGCCAATGATGCTATCAAAGAATTTAACTATTGTTATCTCACATTTTATATGCATTAATCCATCTCTGAAAAATGTTACTGTGACATAACCTCTCTTGTCTCTCCTGACAGATGATACTTTTTTCTGCCTGTTGCATCTGTGGACTAATAGGAGGAATCTTAAATTTTCAATTTCTTCGTGCCCTGACAAAGAAGTCATCTGCTCTCTATTCTTTGCATCTTGCCTCCATGTCTCTTGCATGCATTGGAATTGGTGGTTGCACCCTTTCTTCATGGCTCACTTGTCGGCTAGCCAGCTATGAACAAAGGCGAATGTTCTCAGAAAGAGAACATTCATTGCATCACTCCCATGAAATGGCAGAAAAAGTGAGTTGTGTGTCCTCCCTTATTTGTTCTGCTTCTCCTGAAATGTTACTGTATGTGTTAATGTTTATAATTGGCAAGACATGCATTCAGTTTTCAGTTTTATATGAGAAAGAGCTTCTGGAAAATGAAATGCTGCCATTCTGTGTAAGCTTTATTATGTTGCATTATATGGAGCTATTTTTAGGTACTGTATATTTGCAGTACATCCATTTCAATGAAGTACATCCATTTTCAACATAATTCCATTGTATAGCTATTCAGGGGCTTAGCTGCTAAATATAGCACTTCCTAAATAATTGGAAGCCTTATTAATATGAATTGTCATGTATTGTACTGTGAAAAAAGCACAGAAAGCTTTCTGTAACCACATCATTGCATGCTTCCAGGATTCAATCAATTTCTTCCTCTCCCAAGTACTCAGCTTATAAATTAGGTTATTTAAACATAAAAGCCACAGTTCACAAATGTAGGTGACTTAACCTAAGTATTTAAGGGCATATTTAGATGCCCAAATGAAACCGGTCTCATTTGCAGCACTGGGAATTTATTTCCTTTCTGTATTAACAGGAAGCCTGTTAAAAGAAGGTGCATAGGAACATAATTAGGTGCTGAAACTGAAGCTCCCAAAGCTGAGCCCATAGGACCAAAACAATTAATGGAATGGAATTCTTAAAATTACCTCCTAGACTTAACAGATATGAATAATATTTGAGTAGTTAAATGTTCACTGTAACCCTGTGTTTTGCATTTGGACTCAGTATCTATCCAATGCCTTTCATTTGAGAAATTAGCAGAAAAAAGAACAGAAGTCAAGTGGACTGCCCACCTAAACCTCCACATGCAAGTTTGCATTACTGTTAAGTTCAAGAGTCTGTTGTCTACTGAAACCTCTGAAGAGCAGAGTAAGGATTAGTTCGCTCAGACTGTAGAATTGTTTTCAGACTCCCTGAAAAAACATGATATAGCAGTTAAAAACAACTCATCACTATTCTTTGGTTTCTTAACTGAGATGAGACTCCAAGTAGAATTATAAACTGAATTAATCTTAGATGATGTTTGAAATGTGTTCTGAAAAGAGGATGTTTGAAACATATTAAAAAGATGATGTTTTAAACAGGTTTTAAAAAGTTAAATAGTAGCAGTTACAGCATAAAGCAGGGTGATAAAATCAACAGATGAGATACATTTCTCCATCTCATTTTAAAATGAAGAATTCTTATGAGCTATTAGGCAAGTATGATGGTCTTGCTGATGAAAGGCTAGATATTGACTTTCAGAGAAACTCTTGCCTCAACAAGGACAAAGATGGGAGAAAAGGAGAGGGAAAGGAAGAAGATACAGCTTGGAAAGAAAAAAACCTTTCAAAATAAAAAAAAAAGCTGCCAACCCTATCAATTTGGGGTGAGGATGACCATGTGTAACAGTTGTTCACTGCCTACCTTCCTGGCCTGTTGAGCTACTGAGGTTTTTGCCACGTAGCAGCAAGGCCTTGCCAGGTGTCCACTTATCTTGGGTGAAGGGCCACGGTGTACGTGCAAAGCAACCCTATTGCACACACTCAGCAGATCTGGGTTGTGCCCCACTGATGGCAGACTTTGGCATGTCTGCTGTGGAGCCAAGTATGCATGTACACATGGCCTGGCTTGCGACTTCTTAGACCCATACACTGCCTGCTGATGGCAGGCTTGAGTACACTAGCTCATGGCATGCCCCTAAAAGACAACAAAATATAGCTAAAAACTTACATTAAATTAGACCCTAATATAGAAAATAGCTAAGTGTTTTATATATAAGACTATATTGTATATTTATACTGATATACAGTAATGTAGACATGTACTGCATGTGCATTTGTTTGTGCTATATTTATTGTATAATTGTTATATTTATATTAGAGATTGAGGGGTATTGAAATAACCGACCTGCCCAGCTGTCCGGTGATTCCCCCGACACCAGAGTTACCTCCAAGGTACGCTGAACACTAGGGAGCGACCATGTTGTTATGTCACTTCAGGAAGGGCCACCTCTACGAGGAAGTCATAGTTTCAGCTAATCAAAGTTGGCTGATGCTGTGATGTCACTCTGAGGCAGGAATGGTGCTTCCAGGTAGTGACATAACTCTACGTGGTGAACGCTGCAATCTGGAAGTAAGTTGAGTATTTAAAATGTTCACCCTAGTTACAGGCATCCAAATACTCTTATTTGGATGTAGCCACCATTGATTCACTCTGCTTCTAATCTGTGTGCTCCTTCATTCCCTGAATTCAACAACTTTTTTTAAAAATTAACTTTTATTTTTAAGTAGAAATATTGGGGAAAATAAATGGGTTTTGATATTTTCTGAAATTATGGTGATATTCCAATAGCTGATGTCTGCAGACAATTCAAGTGGTGAAGCTGACAAAAGGAAGCTCATGAATAGCCTTCTGACAGATCATTACTATCAAAATATGGGTGACTGATAGTTACTATTAAATGGCTTTGGTATTCTTGGTCTCTTCCCCAGCTGACAGATATCTTCTGTGTAGATCCAACAAAGGCTTTGGGCACCCACAAATAAGCAAATGATAGTGCCAGACAACTCCCAAACTGGGATCCGTAGTCTAGTGTTAGGCATGCACATTCTTCAATATATGAGGAGAATAAGGCCAAATACCAAATATCAAATACAATACCAAAATATCCAACACCATCATCTGCAAATGGAGACCTGAGTGGTAGAAAATACTCAAAATTAGTTTCACACCTGATTTTCTCTGAAGCTTATGCATGATTCAGGAGTATTAATTGGTAATGCTACTTGGTTTGATGAGCTTAAGCTTACATTGTAGGGAAGACTAGAACACCCCTTTTTTCAAAAACTGTGAAGGGAACAATTAAGTCCTGTGATTTGCTTTAAAATGTAGCTGGTAAAACCTAAGAAAGGAGGCATCAGTGCTTTTTAGCTTTATGTTACTCTGAGTTCTGGTCTCTTCTTGCCAAATGCTGTGGATTCAAAGAAGAGAGAGACAGAGTAAGATAGTAATAAGGACAAGGTCATATAATTTTCTTCTCTTTACCACAAATCTCAGCTACTATGCCATAGAGTTGGGCTCTTTCTCTCTTTTTCTCTCTCTCTCTCTGTCTAGCCCAATGAATGTTGCTTCACTTTTTTTACAGAAGCTTCCACAGAGAGGGGGACAAACAAATCCCTTATTCCACATTTTCTCCAAGTGTAGCTAGGAGGAAGAAGAGGTGAATTTAATCTTTCCATGCAGAGAAGAGCCTCTGGTCATCATGCAGCTATTTTAGAATGATTCTGACACTGGCACCTCCACTTCATCTACCTGAATTTTAGAAATACTCCAAGCTGCATATTTACCTGTACCCATTCCTCTTGCCATAGCTGAATGTTCTCTGTCATTGGACATAAGTAGCAGATCACTTATTTCTTCATCCAGTTTCAAATTGGTATTAAATAGGCCTGGGATTGCTCAGAATAAGGTAATTCCAACCATAAACTCAATGTGGTTTTGCAGCCTTGAAGATCAGGGAACTGTTTAATTAATGTCGCCATCTCTATGCTTAGACAGCTGCTAAGGGGGTATTGTTTGGATTTCAATTTGAGAATTAGAAAATCTATCTCCGAACAAATTTTGGTTTAGGTGCTTTAGGATTCTGACTCATGAGACGGTCAGCTTGCTCTGGGATGACTCACCTGCCACTGGAGAAGCAATCCCCAAACTGCTAAAAGTTGTAAACTTGTATATGAAGGGAAAACTAAAATCAGTCCCATCCCAAGGGAAAACGAGCAGTTAAAACCCTTAGATCCTGTTTGGATCTAGATCTACTTCCCAAATGTCTATTTCAGCAAGCATTAAATGGCATCTGTTTGTAGCATGTCAGCACAGATAGAGATTTGAATGGAAACAGAGACTTAAGTGCCATTTCGTTCTTTTGTAGATCAGCACACAAGCTTGAGTTGGTGCAATTGCAAAGGACAACAGACTTGTACAGATGCCATCAATGCTGTATATGTGGTCTAAGTGTAATGTCCACCTCAATCACTATCAATGAGTCTATCAGTTTTCAAATGTACCTAATTTCTATAGGAAAAAAATGTTGGTTTTTGTTTTTGTTTTTGTTTTTTTTATAATGAGGTTTATCAAGCTAAATAAAAATTTAAAGTGTTTCTAAATGTTTGAAATTAAGACTTCGTTCAAATTTCATCACAACCTTAGATAACTGAATTTTGAAAACCTTACAATAATTCTAATTTTAAGCAATGTTTTCTATTCTTTTTCTAGGAAATGACAGACAACCTAAGCAATGGTGGCCCACATCTGATTTATAATGGAAGTGTATATTAAGAAATTTTTAAAAGTTCCATGGAAGGAAGTGGTTTTAGAATTTTCTTCAGGAAAAAAAACAGACTCCAAGAAATTAAGAAAATGAAACTATCTTAGCTTTTTATGGCTCAAATGTCACAACTGCAGACCAGCACAGTTGCGATTCCCTTTTAGAACCATGTTCAAAATTTGTCTCCTAAACATTTTGCGGATATACAATATTTATTCACTTCCTGGCTACTCTCTTTCAGTTTTTTGTCTGAATAATCTTTCTGAATTGTGATAGTATTTGAAATAGACTTTGCAAGACTCTTATTCTCATGAAGACTCAAAAATCAGAAAAGAAAATAAACTGAACTGCATTTAGCCCACTCAAAGGAGAAGGCAGAGGAAGAATGGCTCAGGAGAATATTTTTCTCCTCTCCACTTAGCAGCATCTGGTGTAATATGATGGCTTCAGATCATGGCATGGTACAGCAACACATCTGCACAGTCCCCCTCCTCACATTTTGAATGTATCCTGCCTCAGTTTTCCCAGTAGATCATATCAAAAGAGAGTGCAAAATCTCCAAATCTTCCAAAAAACTCCCATTTCACATCCAGAGTGTAAATGAACAGTTTGCTGAAAACAACACCGATGTCTTTGTTTTGAAAGACAGAATGCTCTAAGAATGCCATAAATCAAAACCTCAATAATGCCTTGTTGTAAAGAAATTGTAAATATTTCCAATTTGTGAATGAAGTATATTTCGTAATTTGTTCATAAAAGATGACAAATAAAATGCAATCTAAACCAGAGATTTTAGAGAGATTTTTTGGGTTTTTTTCTTGTTAGAAAGATCTTGCAAAGCTGAACTGTCATGCTTGCAGCTTAGTACAACATATTGAAACGTTTCTAGAAGAGTGAAGCAAGCTCAGAAAAGAGAAAAATGAAGGCTGAACAGTCATGGTCAAGGTCAGAAGTTACTGGCAATTCTCCACACCAACAATAACGTTTGGGGGTATGTTAAAGAAGCAGGTATGCAGCTTTAACTGACCCCAAAATTTATTGCCGTACCTAGTGGTTTGTACAGCCATGAAAAATGGAAGAGATCATCTGTTACAGAACATTTACAGCATAATATTAATATAAAATATTCATATCAAATCACTCATATGTTACACAGCGAGTCTATGACTTTTCAGTATTGCAGCATTGCCCACAGCACAGCTACATGAATTTCTGATGTGAGCATCACTGATGACTGGCAACATTTGGTGATTCATACCCATATTCCCAGACAGGTATGAATAGAACCCTATTAATGTTCAAACCACACCATAAAAACCTCTATAAATTACATTAAATTGTTTCGTGAATCTATATGGCATAAAATACTCTTTAAATCAACTATCTTAGAATTTTTGAAGTCTGCAAGGGATTTTCCCATCTAATTACAACACGGGGAACATCTTCGCTGCAATTTAAGTCCATCACTTAAACTCTGTGCTAATTAGTTGGATGGCTAAGCTTTTAAGAAAAAAAAACACCTTATAAGGTTTCACTTCACTTACTTACTGTCCCAAAGAACTTTTGAATTTTCTCAGAGGCCCTGATACACTAGTATTTATTACATACCTTAGAAATTGCTACCAAGACTGTTCAGGTTCATGAAGAATACAGATACTGTCATAGCAAAATAACTACGCTCAAGGAAGCGCTTCCCTTTCCAGGTACTACCTCTCTTTAAACTGTCTCCTTCACTACATTACAGACTGTTTGTGCTCTTTATAGGTGCCATTGTCCCTTCTGTTTGATATTCCTCTTTCTTTGCAGCAGGTAGCATGGGCACAACCATGGTATAAAAGGGTGCAGAGAATCACATATGTTGAAAAATGCACATTGAACATGCAGGTGGTTCGGTAACTTTCCTTTCCTCATTGCCTCAGCAAAAAAACATGTAAAAGTGCCTTAATAAAATCAAGAGTAAATTAAAAAAAATACTCAAAAATCCACCTTGGAACTACTTGGCTGAGGTTCATCACTAGCTCCATGGCACAACTATAATACCACAGTTCACCAGAGTCTCTTGTGACATCTCAGGATGGTAGGACATCTCTAGGAATGGTAGCTGTAGATCCTGGAGCAGTTTGGAGTTGCAGATCAGAACCTGCTCAAGAATGACATGAGAGTACTGACCATAACACCATCCAGATATTTATAACAAACACCTAATTTCCTGGCATGTTAGTGAGAGTATGGGGTAGTGCAGGGAAAGAGGTGATTCTTCTATATCCAACACAGTAGTGCAGTACAACTACCACTTAGGAAAGGAAAGGAGAATATATTCTCTAAGCTCATAATGTTTGAAGCCCTGCTGTAAATTATGAAATACCACCACACCATTTCACATTTTCACATTCACAAAGATGCTAGAAGGACAGAGAAGAGATCTGGGATCCAAATTCTATTGGTAGGGGTCTTTTCCTTCTTTTGGCGCCAAGCCTGTAGAATGTAGAAAAACTGGCTGATCTCTTTATAAATAAAAGCCTTGAAAATGCAAATCTGGAATTTAAAAGACATGGGAACAAATGTGACAAATAGTGTTCCTACTTGAGACATAAAAAGATCAGAATTCTTAAATAACTCAGAGTCAGTTACCACAATATTTGAATGTGGTAGGGGAATTCTGGGAAAAGTTTCACTTTGTTTAATGGTTTTATTCCATAATTGCATACAGAATTCAACTGTAATGGAAACATTCTCTGCATGTTTTCATTACTGGTACAGATGAAAGGACATTCATTCCACTTACCCAACTGCACGAAAAACAAAATTTTCACTTTTCGGAATGTGACCAGCCAGTGTAACTACCCAATAGCTTGAAGGCTGGGCACCAAAGTCCTTTTCAATCTAAATAGGATGAAACATGTATCGCTGTTGACACAGTTGTCTGATTCATGCTGCTGTAAAATCAGATGCTGGCTTAGATTCTCTCTGAGATATTCAGCTGTCATTTATTAGGTCAAGCAACACTATTCCTGAAGGAACTTACTTATTGAACTTTGTGCAGAGGACTCAGCTTGATGTATTTTATAACACCTTAGGCTATATTTTATGCCATATTTTGCATTTCATTGAACCTCAGCTGATGAGAAAGACACATTTTGAATTTACAATAATCAGCAGTGCTTACTGCAAACCATGAAGAAAATTGTGTAGAATATGTTTTAAATCTCTGTCTTGCACAATCTTCAATATATATTTGTTGTATTAGGACATATGAATTTCCCTTCAGATGGTCTAGAGAGGTATGAACAACAGTGAAGCAGGCCACAATCAATAGGAAATTGATATACATTGAGCCATAATCACAAATAGCCATGCTTGTATCAAAACTTTCCTTGACAGTGTGATTTTAAAGATACAGTGAAAAGAGAGTCTCATGGTTTAAGCCATTTTTAATCCTTCCAGATCCCTGTCTCAGGCAGGTTAAGGAGTTAAAAGGAACCTTTTATAATTAAATGCTTAGAAATATCTAAAAGCAGACTGCTATTAGACTAACATATCATTGCAGATATTATTGCATAATCTTCCTGCCTAAAATGATTTTATCTAGCTTTCTTTTTCTGTATCAAAGTGACATCTTTAGCTTCACTATAAACCTCCATCATAAACAACCAACCTGTACAACCAAAGCTGTTGTACATGCATCTGGAGACAGATTTTGAGAAATATATTTAGAACTTGTACAAGAGCTAACCAGACAGACTGAGTTGCCAGGGGGCAGAAAAAGGAAAAAAAAATAAGAAAATAGCAGAATATTTTTGGTAAAACATAATTTGATTGGAGTAAAGATGCTAAACCCCCCCATTAGTTTAGTATCATCAGCCTGAGGAGCTCTGAATGACCTTGGGAAGCTTGCTCAGAAAGGCCTTTTACTCCTAAGTATAAAATTATGAGAATGCAACTTGGTGCTCTGAAGGGAAAAAAGGGAACTAGATGAGATTAATCAGTCGCTGGAATTTCAGCAGAAGGTGTGTGCCTGTGCCTGGAAAGACTTGCCTAGCAATGGAAGTGTTGTTCTGCTACAGAAAGAAGCAGCTTTGATTTGGAGCAAAAAGTCCAGAAGGCTGCACCAGGGTCTCTCTTGCTACCTCTATCAAAGCAGTCTGAGAAACACTGAAGACCCAGCATAGACACACCTACTTCTGCCAGGGAACCAACAAAAAAGCTGTGCAGAGCACCCTCACAATTGATCTGTGGTTCTCTCAAATGCAGGTTTTTTGCTTTTTCCCCTTACATTACATTTGATTTGCTGCAAGGCATCTTTTATGTTCTTTAACCATAAGTAATAGCAGGCTGCTTTAGTGACTTCCACATCATTGCAATTTTGGTTCATAACCAGTAGAAGGTTTATTTTGTTTTATTTTTTTTTTCCCAGACATCACTCTGAAATTCATTTAAAATCCTGCCATAAATTGCAAAATGTGTCTTTAAAAAAAAATATGCAGTTACGGCATTTTGAACAGGTTGACCATGTACATTAATTAAAAATAACTTCATCTGCATATTGAAAATAGCTGTTCACATGAACTGGCATAATGTGCAATGGGAACATGCTAGGAAGGCAGGGACGAAGAGACACCATAAACACAACTGAAAAGCTGCATATAATTCTGCTGATACAAAACCAGGTATAGGAGTCAACACAACTTCATTCTGCACCCTTAAAAAATCATACATATATTTAAAAAGATCTAAGAACCATTACGATTTCTTATCCTCTTTCCTGCATCCCATGGCTAGTAGCTAGTGTGAGACAAATCAAATTATGTTACCAGGACCACAAACTTCTTTTGGGTTAGCTTCTTAAATTCCTTCACATTTCCATTTCCAATGTGGGGCAGATTTCCATACTATATATATGTATACGTAACTTCTTTCCTAAACCCTTTAAAATGTTCCCATGTAAACTTATTCATTCTGTCTCATGCACAGGAATTATGTCAGTATCTTTAATTTTTTATCCCATTCATCCCTGCCTTACCAAAGTTACATTGGACCAACAGCTAGCAGGCTAAGAATTATCATCTCTCCTTGACTGCTTCAAAATAATCTTGATCCTACAAAGTTATTAAAATTGAATAAAATTTCATACTGTCTTAACTTTCTCTCCCCAGTTTCTTGTCAGACAAACAGCATATTTTATCTGTAGGAGTAATGAATAAAATAAGGAATTATTCTGTATTTTAGAATCTGTCTCCTTTCCTGATTCCCATCAATGGACAGACAGATCTCTTGTGTGAATTTGTTGCAGGCTAGCAAGTTTAACACTGATGCACACATACCTAGGATCTTGAAGTGTTTACACTGTGCCATAAGGAGTTCTGCAGAACCCCGATGCAGAGTGTGTCATGGTGAAGTTGAGTTACTGAGGCACCCCTGACCTGAGCTTCTCAGCCATGCAGGGAGGTGGGGCTGACACACACGAAGACAGAAGCAAACACCCACGAGAGCACTGCTCCTGCCCGCTGCAGCTCACGTACAGCAATGCACGGTGTGGCACAGGCACACCTACACTGCCTCAAACCCTTGCCTAGCTCAGCACAGACAGAGCTGCTCTCGCTAGCTGTCAAAGCCAGCTGTCAAACATAGCTGAAAGACTGTGCAGGGATTGTGTTCCCATCTGTCAAAAGAA